GAAAACAAGAGGTGTGAGGCCCTTGGAGAAACATGGTAGGAAGGCTGTCCCAAGCATGGGTAAAGTGACAGTGTCCCTTTTTTGTTGGCTGGCACTCTTTCTATATGGCATTTGTGCCATTCTCAGTTGAAGATAACATTTTCTCATGACCAAGGGACATACAGGCCCTTGCCTCATTAAGTATCCTAGTTTTAATATCGTATCCTAATTTTGATATCATTGTAATATTAATTAACTAACCAGAAAGGAGCAAAAGAAAAGGCCAGATAATACAGGCATGCCATTCGTGCCAGAAAACTGCAGCTTAATATTCTCCAGGTTCATTCCCCATAGATCCTCGGGGAAGAGACAGGACAAGGAACAAGTAGACTCATGCAGTAAAGTTTAAATAATGTAGAGAGGGTGCTTGTCTGTCAGTCACACGTGGTCATTGGCCAAGATGAGTGTAAAATCTGAGCTACATAAGCTCCTGAACACGGAGTCGGCTGTCTAGGCCTCTTGATCTCTTGGGATTCCTGATGTAGGGCGTGTGCTCTCAGGCTCTACACTGGTCCACATCCACGTGGACCACAAATCTGTGGACTGATGGACTAACATTAGGTTTATGCTGTGCCGGGCTCCTCTCCACCAGGGGATGGGAACTGGACACTGGCTCGGCGTCGGGCTCTGCTGAAGCCCCAGCTGCACATCTTCCAGGACTGGTTTAAAGGGAACGGGACTTCGCAAGCCTAGGGATGTAATTCTATGCAGATAAACACATTCATTCTTTCATGTGAATCTCAGAAAATTCTTTTTCTCAAGATATTGTAATAACCTGACCCCCAGCACCAGAGGGGAAAGGGATCCCCCACTTCCACCTGTGGACACTCCACTTCTGCTGGCAATGGAGAGACTGCAACAAAATTCTCCGCTAGCGATGTGATATGAGTTTGAGGAGCTTATTGCCCCAGCAAAGGTGTCTTATTTCCCTTCTCTTCCAGGCACATGCAGGAGAGGCGATGATGCTTTGCCTGTTTGGGACGCCCAGAGAGGTGGCCTGGCCTGGGCCCCTTTAAAAATGGTGGGGGTGGGGGGGGGCAGAGAGGGAAGAGGGAACCTGAGATTACTGTACCATGTCTCTAGCAGATAGAGAAGTCCATGTATGACCGTGTCTGAGGATCCAGACTCTTGTCACCTTCTTTTCATTGTGTGTCACACTTGTGTGTTGGGAAAAGGGCTCTGATTATTGGTTATTGGCAGTTTCCCTTCATTTTTTGCTTTAAAAATCTTTCATGATTAATCAAATCAGCAAAGATAATCGGAGGAAGGAGAATAACTACTTAACTGGTTTGAGGTTAGTATTCAAATGCTACCATCCAGACAGCAGGTCTCAGGTGTGTGCAGGCTGGGAAAGTACCCATCTCTCATGTTGAACCCAAAGCGTAGAACTCATTGCTACTCTTGACTTCCAGCATTTATGGGGGGTGAGGACCGGGCAGAGGAGAGGGCAGCTTTTTTCCTTCCTTGCATCAGAGGAGCTATATTTATTCAATGGATCAGACTGAGACCACTTCCCCATCTCCAGTGTGCGTTTTGGTTTATAAGACTAATCTTGTCTTGGGATAATGGCCTTTGGAGACTCATTTTCGATAGTTAGTCAGTGGGATGTGGGATGATTTAAAAGAAATAAAAAGAGGATTTGTGTCCTGCTGCTGTGCAGTGTGGTTTTTCAGAGATAGGTGACCTTGCTCTTTCTGACTTCTGAGCCTTCGCCTGAGTGTTCAGTAAGTGCTGCCATTCAGGCAGCGAGGCCCAAGGCGGACACAATCCTCTTCAGGTCCCAGGCGATGTCATGCAATTGATATGGGCGAAGGCAGACGATTGGGGAATGCGGACACGGAGGCTCAAGCTTTTGGTTTCAGCTCCTTCCTACGAAGACACAGAGAAAATTCCTCCAGCAGCAACGATGTTCTTGTGGTCAATCAAAGCGGCGACCAGAGTTCTTGGAGTCTTAACAGGGCCAAGGCAAATGGTAGGATGAGGATCCTGAGGGCTTCTTCCCGCCACTTCTCACTTGGTGGGAAATGAGAGCCAGGAAGTTCAAGAGCTGCATCCTCGGTCCTTTCAGTGTTAAATTCTGTTAAGCCATCACCACCACCCCCCAAAAAACAAAACAAAAACCCCCCTCACAATTTCCTGGTCACGGCCCCTCCTCCTGAAAGGCAGCTTTGCATCTTCTGCCATCACTATGCATTGCTTGCCTTCCCGCCCACTTCTTGCAGACACCTGCAGGCCCCTGTGCTGCTCCTCCTTGCTCCCTGCTCACCGCTGCTCTCTCCAATACCACTCTTGTCCTGCTCCAGTGTAGGCAATCCTCCCCATGCCATGGGGCCTCTTGAGTCATTGACCAGCTCGATTGCAAAGAGCAAGTGACCCTGCTCTCTCTGTGCTTCTGAGCCTTCATCTGAGTGCTCAGTAAGTACTGCCATTCAGGCAGTGAGGCCTAAGATGGACACAATATATATTGATTTCAGAGAGGAAGGGAGAGGGAGATGGAGGGAGGGAGGGAAAGAGAGAGAGAGAGAGAGAGAGAGAGAGAGAGAGAGAGAGAGAGAGAGAGAGAGAGAGATAAATGATGAGAGAGAATCATTAATCTGCTGCTTCCTGCATGTCCCACATGGGGTCAAATCCACAACCTGGGCTCGTGCCCCTACCAGGAATCAAACTGTGACTCCTTTTCATAGGTCGACACTCAACCACTGAGCCACCCACCCGGTTCAACTGCAACATTATCATCAACTCTGACTCAGCCACCTGCTCCCACAATCACACCTTAGCCATAGTCATCAGCAGCAACCATATTCCAGTCCACAACATCATTTCAATATTGTGTCTCCCGTTCTGCAAACACTGCTCCTGTCTCTCCATCTCTGTCCCTCTGCCACCCCCTCCAGCAGTTCTTCCACCTCACCAGATCTACAGGTCACTGACCCTGCCGTCTTTTCACTGCCTCTTCCTTCAGCCTAATTGAGTTTCTCTGGTGCTCATGATTCCTCCGTATGGACTCTCACTTTCCTTACCATCCCCTTGCCCCAGGGTTAATTCCACCCTGCCTTCTCCACACCCGCCCTGATACAGCTGCACCTGGCTGGGTAAAAACAGGCCAACTAACGACGCTTTAGCTCACAACTCCAAAACTCGTAAGTTCCTAACGCAGCCCTGAGTTTCCACATGTCTGTAGTTCCTATGCCCTCAATCCTAACACCTCTCCTTCCCACTCTGAGCCGCCATCCTTGCTTCCTATTTCCTGAGAAAGTAGAGGCCATCAGAAGATAGCTTGCTCATGCTGCGCCCGATGTGCCCACCTTGTGATGGTGTGACTAGAGCCCCTTTCCACCTCTCGGCTGGAGCACCTGCCACTGCCCTGAGTGCTCAGGAGCACCTCTCTGCATCACCACGTCTCCCTTCCCCCGATGGTTCCCACCAGCATGCGGTAAGGTCTCCCTTCTTGACTCTCCCCCAATAGTTGCTCCATTTTCCCTTTGTAGAAAAACTTAACAGATGTTTCCACACCCTCTTTCCCCCACTTTCCTCCCATTTTCTCTTGAACTGTGCAGTCAGGCCTCTGTCCCCATCACTCTGCTAAAATAGCTCTGGTCACAGTCACCACTGGTTCCCTTGTTGCCGCAGGACTGTGATTCTGTCTTCAAGTTCCCTACCCTGCCAGAGGCTTTAATGCCGAGAAGCAGCTGACACCTCCTGCTTGCAAACCGTTTCTTCATTTGGCTTCCTGAGCTCCACTGTCCTCTTATTTGCTGGTCCTTCCTCATCTCCTTAACCTCTCAGCATTGGCGCACTCCGGGCTCAGTCCCCAGACCTCTCTGATTATATCCACTCCTGTGATGATCTCATGAATTTCACAACCTTTTATTTATTTATTTATAGCTTAAACGACAGACATTTATTTCTCACAGTTCTGGAGCCTGGGAAATTCAAGACTAAAGTGCCAGCAGATTTGGTTCTTTGGTGAGACCTCTCTTTCTGGCTTGACCAGCCCCTGCCAACTCTGACCTCATCTGGCATCTCCCATCATCCCGCAACAGCCACCTTGGCCTCGGTTCTCTTCCTCTGGGTGTAGGCCAGACATACACCTCAGGGCCTTTGCATTTGCTCTTCCTTCTTCTGAATGCCTCTCTCTGTTATTCATGTGGGTTATTCCATCATTTCATCAGGTGTCTATTCAAATGCCATTAACGAAGACTTCCCTGCTCATCTATCTATATCACATGTGTCAAACACAAGGCCCGCGGGCCAAATCCTTGATAGCATGTGAGTTGGTTAACAGCACTGTTAAGGAAAAGTTTGTTCCACTCATTTTAAATTCACATTTCTGGTTAACATTGTCAGTTTATGACTGTTCAGTAAACCATTCGGCCCGCGATTTAGGCTGGATTTTAGATTTTGGCCCCTTCTCTGATTGAGTTCGACACCCCTAATCTATATAAAAGCCTAAGCAACCAAGTAATCAAATGACTGAACAGCTGGTCGAGCAGTTGCTATGACATACTGACCACCAGGGGCAGACACTCAATGCAGGAGCTGCTCCCTGGTATCAATGCGCTCTCACAGCCAACCTCCCGCAGCCCCTCCACCTGGCCGACCTCCCACGGCCCAATCGGCCCTGATTGCTGGTCAGGCCTAGGGATCCCACCCGTGCACGAATTTATGCTACTGGCCTCTAGTCCTATATAAAACAGCAGATACCTCTGCAGCATTCTCTGTTCTTCTAACTCTACTTTAAAAATAAAAAAAATAAAAAAAATAAAACCACACCATTTTCTGGCCTGTCTCCTGCTATTGGAATGTCCCCAATATACAGAACTGTGCTTGGCACTTAATGGGCCAGCATAAGTATTTCTTGGATAAATGAATAACTTTAAGATTGTATTTCAATTTTAAAGCAAAACTTTACGGGATTCTTGAAGCTCGTCGCATAGCAAAGTAGACACATGTAGATTGGATAAATTCTAGAAGCTTCTTTACTTGAAATAGTCATCTGGATTTATACCCACTGTAGCCTGAGTGAATATGTGTTTCCAATGGAATTGAGGAAAAGAGATTAAGAATCTTGTTAACAGTTTGTTTCTCTTGGTCTGAATGTGGCTGCTGCTGCATCTGCCTGTTCATGCAGCTGACAGTTCTCTGCCCACCGTTCCTCCGAGCGCCTGGGGCGATCCTGCGCCTCCTCCTCGGCTCTCCTGCCAGCTGGAAACGCCGCACGGCTCCTCACAGCAGGCAAGGGGTGTCCCAGCTGTCCTCGGTGCTGTTTGAACGGCCCCTGGAAAGCTGAGGAGAAGGCTGAACGGTGGTGTCTATAACATACAAATTACAGCAGGGGACCCCCTCCCCCTCACTTGCCTTCAAGCAAAGTTGCTTGTTTTAAAAGTGACCTAGAAGAGAACTCGTGGTGACATTTAAAACTATACAAATTGAAAGCAGCAAATGGTGCATTTTTGCATGTATTGGAATTATTTATCTTCCATTGTTTGCTTTAGGCAAACGTGATGAGGAGTGAAGAGCACTGGCTTTGAAGGCAGCCTGCCCCCGCTTGGAGAAACGCAGGCGCTGTGACGAGCCCAGAGCTGTGACCTTGGGCAGGGCCCTCAGCCTCTGGAGCCTCGGTTTCTTCTCTGCTGAATAGGGACCACATGGACCTCACAGAACTGCTCTGAGGCTCTGTGCCTGGCCCATACATGCTCTATTTTGGGGACAAGTGTCACGCTGCTACTTCACAGGGAACTGTTCATCCTGTGACAGAGGGGGAGTGTAGACCCAGGATGAGGGGTTCCCACTTCGAACGTTGGCATGGAGCCAGGTCTTCTCCTCGAAGGCAGGTGCTCCCTGCCGCTCGCCCCTTCTCTCTCCTCGCCTGTCCGCTTCAGCTGCGCAGCCCAGGGTTCTGGGGACCTGGAGGCAGACTCAGGTTTTATTTCCAAAATCTGTCTTTCCACTCTCTTTCCTGGGGTCCTTGCCCTTGATGCAAACAGCCCTTATCAGATGTTTCTGACACAGGTCCCCTTTCTTCTGGCGGGAATTGTTCCCAATTAGGTCTGAGTCCATTAACAATTTAAACTTTTGGGAAGAATAAAGCCTCCCCTTTTTCTAATCTCTGGGCATAACTGGTTTACACGGGAGTAGGGCTGGGGGTGAGGGGTGGGGAGGGGGAAACGAATGGACACTGAGGTAGATGCGGGGGCTGTTCAAACAGATACAATCCTGGGGAGGAAAAACCCCTCCCAGCAGGTTTTGCAATTTGAATCTTCTAGAGACCGACGACATTTTTAAGTTGGTGCTGATTAATGCCAGGCCATTAATCTGTTGATCTGTGGAGCAGCTCTTCCTTCCATTCCAATGAAACCCCTTCCCTGCGGTTTTCATCGATATTCATGACACAGGCAGAGCGGCCAGGAAGCGGGTCAGGTGGAGGTTAACCGGCTGAGGCCTCGGCCCGCTACCCGCTGTGGCCACCAGGTGTCAGCAGAGGCTGCCTGGCCTCACAGCCGGGGGCCGAAGGAGCCCAGCCCTTTCTCAAAGCCGGCGGGAAGGTCCGGCCACCTGCCAGGTGGGCCAGCCCTCCCTGCGCTGGAAGGGACAGCCTTCCGCGGTAAATGGCTTGCAGTGTTACACTCATGTTCAAACGCGAGCATGTGCTTGCTGCTGCCTAACATCTTGATTCATTTCAAAAGTCAATGCTAATTATTTCAAAGCCAATAGCTAAACCTTTAGTCACTTAGGCCTCTATGACCTTCCTTACTTTTGAAATGAATACCGATGGCGTGTTCACGCGTTGCAAGATGCTCCAGCTTACTTGTTGGAAATTACATTTGGAAAGCCCAGGATTGCAAGGTGGCAAGCAAGTGCTAACAGATTCTCTGTCCAAGGCTCCCAAGCACGTGGCATTATGGGTGACTTCCTTGGGCAGAGCTGAGACGCTGAAACAAATTCCTTCAGAGCACAGCCCCCGCTGGAGGGCGCCCCACCTCAGGGCTCCCATTGGCCTGAGGTGGCGTCTCCTGCCTTTCCGGGAAGCGGGGTGTGTGTGTGTGTGTGTGTGTGTGTGTGTGTGTGGTGTGTGTGTGTGGTGTGTGTGTGTGTGTGTGTGTGTGGTGTGTGTGTGTGTGTGTGTGTGTGTGGTGTGTGTGTGTGGTGTGTGTGTGTGTGTGTGGTGTGTGTGTGGTGTGAGTGTGTAGAGTGTGCGTGTGTGTGTGTGTGTGTGTGGTGTGTGTGGTGTGTGTGTGGGGTGTGCGTGTGTGTGTGTGGTGTGTGGGGGGGTGGGGGGGTGTGCATGTGTGTGTTCCCACACACGAGTGGGCAAAACCCGAGCCCTTTGGTTGTTTTAAGAGCCCGGGGTTTGCTCCTAGGTTACCTAGACATCACAGCACAGCCCTGGGCGCTGGTGGGCTGGCAGAGACTCCGTGGCCGTGGCGCCGCCTCTGGGCTCCATTCACAGTTCCACTCCGCCTGCCTGGGCGCAGGTGGTGTCAGGAGGGACCAGGTGCTGGGGCCTCACCATTTCTCACCTTGGCCTTGGGGCGCCCTCTCCTGCGTCCTCACGGAGCTGCGCCCTGAGGACTCACCCACTGAGCTGACCCTGTCCCTCGTTTAGACCTGGTGATGGACCCTCCGGCAGGACGCAGAGCTCACCGCAGGCACCGGAGTTCCTGGCTTCGCCTCTTGCCTTCCTCCCGCTGTGTGACCTGGCACCGTCCCCTCCCCTCCCACAGCTCCCCTGCCTCACAGCCTGCTCTCGGGTGCTCTGGCCACAGGCCTCCCGGCTCTTGCCACCAGATTGCCTTCAGCTTGGGAGACAGTGTCACGGATCACCTGGTCTCCAGATCTTCCCTGATCTCTGTCACCTCCTCATGGCCACAGACCCGACTAGATGCTCCTTTAGATCCCTCCACACCCTGGCCAGTCTGATATAGCACTTTCCACACTCGGCTTCATTGTTGTATGTCCACTAGAGGCTGGATGCACGGAGATTTGTGCAGGAATGGGCCTTCCTTCCCCTGGCTGCTGGCACCACCTTCGCTCTGACCAGAGCCACCTTTCTGCCTTCCCAGGCTTCCCAGCGGCCCAGAGCGGCTGGGGTGGTGCAGAAGCTTGTGTTGTTGCCATGATGCAAGCTCCCCTCCCCGCCCTGCGCCCCCGCCCCCTCCAGCCACTGGGCGCCTGTGTATGCAAATTAACCCACCATCTTTGCTGGGTTAATTTGTATTCTTTTTCTGATTGGCTGGTGGGCATGACGAAGGTACAGTCAAGTAGCATGCTACTCTTTATTAGGGTAGATCTTCCTGCAAGATGCCGCTCTCCCCAAGCTTAGGATCAGGTCTCACTGTTGCTCCACTGACTGGCACATGTCAGGACTTAATCAATAGAGGTCTGGTATGTGGGTGTGGGTAGAGCTTTAAGTCTCTGAGCTGGTTTCAGTGGACCCTTCTTCAGTCAGGAATTTCCTTGTACAGGTTCTTCGATACTTCCTCTCTCTGCTGTTCCCTCTGTACTCTCCGGCATTCCTACTCACCAGGTATTGTGTTTCCTGGATTGCTCATTCAGCCCTTATCTTTTGCCTTCTGCTTTTCCTTTCTGGGAAATGTACTAAGTTTTATCTTCCCATTTTTCTATTGCCTTTTAAATAGTTCTGCTATTATATTTTCAAATTTCAATTTCTAGTTCTTTATTTCTTTTCCACAATATCTTCTCTTTTCTCTCTAAAAATGTTAGGTGTAGTTTTAAATATTTCATTCTGCCCTTTGCCTTGCCTTTGTTTCCTCTGGGTTCTCTTTGCGTTGGTTACTTTCTCACATAGTGCCGGCATCCTCAAATGTCTTCCATTTATATTGAAGCATGAGGTACCCCAAAGCTCCTTGCAAGCACTCTATGCTTGGGTGGGACCTGCTCTTCCAGGGTGTTGCAGGTCCCAGAGCCCGAGAATACATTTCCAGTCCCTGCCAGGGAATGGCCGGGGGCTCCCAGATCAGAAAGAGAAAGGAGCCAGCTCCTTAGGGATGCCACTTTCTGCCAGCACTTCAGTGGGAGCTTCTCAGATCTGCTTGGGCAATTCCTGCTCCTCTATCCACTTTCCATCCTAAAAAATGGGATGAGCTCTCTTGTCCCTGATGTCTTCCCTCCTGTTCTCTTTGTCTTCATGGGTTTATACCTAACTAGAGGCCCAATGAATGAAATTTGTGCACTTGTGGGGGCATCCCTCAGCCCAGCCTGTGCCCTCTCCCAGTCCTGGAGCCCTCAAGGGATGTCTAGCTGACAGCTCCATGAGGATCTGGCCTAAGCTGTCAGTTGGACATCCTTAGTGCTGCCACAGAGGCGGGAGAGACTCCCACCACCGCCACTGAGCCCAGCTTCTGGCTGAGCGGTGCTCCCTCTATGGGAACACACTGACCACCAAGGGGTAGCTCCTGTGTTGAGCATCTTCCCCCTGGTGGTCAGTGCATGTCAAAGCAACCAATTGTTCATCCATTTGGTTGATTTGCATAGTAGCCTTTTATTATATAGGATTATGCCTTTACTTTCATTTTTAGTGGTATTTCCAGAGGAGATAAAAAAGTGAATATGGTGTCTGTTATGTTCAACTGGAAATCTCCCTTCCTCCATCACTTCCTCCCTCCCTTCTAAAAAAATTAAAGCACCCTAATCCCAGAGACAACAAATTTGAGCATTCTGTTATTTCTAGTTCCCACTTTGGGTTTGGCCCTTGGGCCCTAGAAAAGTGGGCCTCCATCCTCCTTTCTTAGCCCAACACTAATTCTGCTCCCGCTACACACTCTGTGTGGGCTGGGGGTTGGGGGTGGAGGGAGGACAGGACTTTCTTAAGCCAATAAAATTTTATTTTATTTTTTAAAATATATTTTTTATTGTTTTTTTACAGAGAGAAAGGGAGAGGGACAGAGAGTTAGAAACATCGATGGGAGAGAAACATCGATCAGCTGCCTCCTGCACACTCCCCACTGGGGATGTGCCCGCAACCAAGGTGCATGCCCTTGACTGGAGTCGAACCCAGGAACCTTCAGTCCACAGACTGATACTCTATCCACTGAGCCAAACCAGTTAGGGCAACAAAATTTTATTTTTTTAAAAATTAATTAATTAATTAATTAATTAATGTGCAATTTGAACACAGGAAGCTGCAAAGATCTTAGTTACATTTTGGTAAGTGTATACACTGTATCCCAACCTGTTATCTTACAGAACATGCCCTCAGTCCAGAATTTCCTTCCTCCTCCCTTTCCCTCCTCACAACCCTGCCTCTCCATCATTTAAGTGAGAGCAATGCTATTTCCTTAAAACAAAACAAGCAAAACACATGTCTGAATCTTGCCCCTTTTTCAGGAGTGAGGAGAAGCTTATTGTTTCCTAGAAAGGATTTTGAGGAAACCAGTTTCCGTCATAATCAGTAGAGCTGCATGTCACATGTGTGTTGAAAAACTCAGTCAATCAAACGATTCCTCATGTCTTTGAATAAATGTCTCCTGCACATATCTTCAAGGTCCTACTCCCCTTTGTTTTTCTGAACAAAACTTGAGGTTTTCCTTGTTTTCAAATGTATTTGACCTCTTACCAAATAGATGTGTTCTCACACACCATGAAATTAGACTTGAATATCTGTAGGTTGTGAATAAACTTAGGTTCCGCTCCTACCCTGTACAGCACTGGCTGCAGAGGCCGTGGGCATGATAACATGTCTGAGCTTGGGTTCTCCCTGTATGGAGGGGGCATTAGATCGGCTCAGGGCTGTGAATTCCAGATGAGAGCATTGATCTACAAAAGAGTACACCACAGTCATTAGTACTCCTGCATTCCTGCTCAGGATTCCAGAAGAGATGCACATTTGTTTGCATGTTTTATGAAATTATTTTTTTAATTCTCATCTGAGGATATTTTTCCATTGGTTTGTAGGGAGAGTAGAAGGGAGAGGGGACGACAGAGAGAAACATCGCTGTGAGAAAAACACATGCTTTGGTTGCCTCCTGCATGAGCCCTGACCAGGGGAGGAGCCTGCAACCAAGGTATGTGCCCTTGACAGGAATCGAATTTGGGATCCTTCAATCCACAGGGCAACACTATTCACTGAGCCAAAATGGCTAGGGCTTTTTAATTAATTTATTTTTTTGTAAATTCTTAAAAGTAAAATATTTAGTCAAGCCCAGGCCATCCACATACACATATGTAATGAAAGTATCTACTGTGCACAAAATCACTGGAAGGGAAAGACACCGTAACTATGAACCGGCTTTCACATGACAGCGCGCCATCAATCTCAGCACAAAGTGACCTTACCTGCCTCGAGATGCCTCCTTTGTTTTTACCGCAACAAATCATGCGGCGAAGGAGGACCTTTGCGCAGCTCAGAGGGCTGTGGGGGTGTGCAGCCATCTCCGGGACCTGGGAGCAGAGTCTCAGTGATTGTTAGCGGCTTTTCCCTTACAGGATCCTTCCTCAACAGCGGGTCTACACTTCCTGTGTCTTTTGTGTCCCAGTCCCCCGCCCCCATCCCCTCCCCCACCTGCCAACTCAAATCAACAAATACATCTTGAACAGGGAGTGCATACCCAGCCCTGGGGCAGGGCATGGAGAGAATACCAGAGAAACAGAACTGTGGTCCTAGCCTTGAGGCTGGGATGATCTTGTCAGGCAATGTGGGCTCAGCTGTGTTATCTGGATATTATTGCTGGTATCTGAATATCTTTATATAAATTCCAGCAACCTTTAGAAGAATATCTGATGTAATAAGGATATGTTTTTTTTAATTGATTTTAGATAGAGAGGAAGGGAGGGGGGAAAAGAGAGAGAGAGAGAGAGAGAGAGAGAGAGAGAGAGAGAGAAAGAGAGTGAGAGGAGAGAGATAGATACTGTGAGAGAGAAA